TCCTCCAATGCCTCAGGTTCAGATGTCCCTGCTCTATCTTTCTTTAGATCACTGTAAATATTACGTGCTTTTTCAGAAATGATAGCCTCAGTTACACTATCTCCTGCAAGCTGCTTGTCCTTCACCCATTTGAGAAGCAGCCTCTCCATCTCCTCTTGGATATCAGTCCATAATTTTGATGTTATTGTAGTCCCTTTGGCAGGTGTTAGCTTCTTAATGATTCCTTTTGTTTAAGGACAGTAGATATGGTCGATGCACTACGATTCAACTGCCGTGCTAGATCAATCACTCGTACACCACGTTCATATGTTTCTATTATTTCACGCTTAATTTCCATTGAAATACTCATTTTCTTCATCTCACCTCCCTTCTTATCACTCACTTTCTTGGGACCCATGATTGTAGTCAAAACAGTTAAGGAAATTGTGGTATTAATACCAAAAAAAAGCACAACATAAAGACAGACAGTACACATACGAATCAATGTTGCTACGAACACGTGCAATGGCCTGAGAAGCAACAAGTACAAAGAATGCTGGGCTGTATGTGGAGCGGCTAGTACTGGCGAAAGAGGGTTTGTGCGCAGGTTGGCAGCCTGATTTGCCTGTGTGTGGACAATTCGAAAGGATGATTCGTGTCGTATCTCAAAATTCCCGTCGTATTTCAAAATAAAAATTCTGCAAAATTTCAAAACGTAACTCAAAACATACGTATGTTAGGGCAATCGTATCTCAAGGGTCCACTGTATAACTGTTTTTTGTCTTTTACAATATCTTACAGTTGCTACTTCCTCTCACTTCAACTGCCCCCAATAACAATGCTGGCACTAAGTCACCATGGTACAGTCAGAGGTGCTTTTGATTTCCTGCCTTGGTTACACAGACAGCAATAGGTATAGCTCCATGTGAAGAGTCCAATTGCAAAAACAGAATCTCCAATTGAATCGCCAGTTGAGAATCTCTAATTCTGTAAACCATGTGTTTTTTTTTTCAGATAATACTCATAAATAGTAGTTGACTAGTAGGCCGTTTTTTTTTCCATTTTTCCCAATTTTTCCCAACCCAACCTTATTGACTTCACCAGCTTTTCTGACTTTGGGAAGAGAAGCCAAGCACGGCTCACAATAATTAGTACCTCAAAGTCAGTGTCAAAGTCACTCACCTACTTTAGGTTAACAGCCATTTTCTCAAGATCCCAACTATATATTTAAAAGACCACATAAATAGTGGTCAATATGGATCTACATTTAGGGTGAGGTGCAACAATCTTTGTTCTTGGTAAGCCTTAATGTGCCCCTCAAATGTAGGAACTTTTGATAAACATTCCCAATCACAGGGTGCTATCACCTCTCTTTCTCTCTCCCAGGACAAGCAGCATGGGTATGTGTGTGTACGTGTGTGTATATTTGGATTACATTATCCTTTTTTGTACCACACAGATAGTTTACAGTAATAACTTCAAATGTTTGTGAAAGTCTTGTGATGACAAGTGTGTCCCTCCACATAGCAGCTAAACTATTAATTTCCAGAATTGCCTCTCTGTGAACTCTCCTCCCTAAGCTCGGGTATATTATATGTTTGTGTATATACAGTTGAAACCAAAAGTTTACATACACTATATAAACAGGCACATAACCTTTTTTTCTCACCGTGTAACATTAAATCAGATTAAACCTTTCCTGTTTTTTGTCAATTAGGATTACCAAAATTATTTCTATTTGCTAAATGCCAGAATAATGAGAGAGATAATTTTTTAGACAAATTTTTTTATTACTTTCTTGAGAGTCAGAAGTTTACATACATTTCATTAGTATTTGGTAGCATTGCCTTTAAACTGTATGACTTGGGTCAAACGTTCTGGATATGCTCCCACAAGCTTCTCACAATAGTTTGCAGGAATTTTGGCCCATTCCTCCGGACAGAACTGGTGTAACTGTGCCAAGTTTGTAGACTGCCTTGCTCGCACATGCCTTTTCAGCTCTGCCCATAAATTCTCAATTGGATTGAGATCAGGACTTTGTGATGTCCACTCCAAAACATTGACTTTGTTATCCTTAAGCCACTTTGTAGCCAGTTTGGGAGTATGTTTAGGGTCATTGTCCATTTGGAAAACCCATTTGTGCCCAAGCTTTAACTTCCTGGCAGATGTCTTGAGATGTTGCTTCAGTATTAGCACATAATGTTCTTTCCTCATGATGCCATCTGTTTTGTGAAGTGCATCAGTCCCTCCTGCAGCATAACAACCCCACAACATGATGCTGCCACGCCCATATTTCACAGTTGGGATGGTGTTCTCAGGCTTGCAAGCTTCCCCCTTTTCCCTCCAAATGTAACGATGGTCATTATGGCCAAAAAGGTCAATTTTAGTTTCGTCAGACCACAGGACATGTCTCCAAAAATTAAGGTCTTTGTCCCTGTGTGCATTTGCAAACTGTAATCTGGCTTTTTTATGTTTCTTTTGGAGTAATGGCTTCTTCCTGGGAGAGTGGCCTTTCAGCCCATGTCGGTACAGGACTCGTTTCACTGTTGATAATGACATACTCTTACCAGCTTCAGCCAGCATCTTCACAAGGTCTTTTGCTTTTGTTCTTGGGTTGATACACACATTTCGGACCAAAGCACATTCATCTCTGGGACACAGAACCCGTCTCCTTCCTGAGCGGTATGATGGCTGGACATTCCCATGGTGTTTATACTTGCATATAAATGTTTGAACAGATGAACGTGGCACCTTCGGGCATCTGGAAATTGCACCCAAGGATGAACCAGACTTGTGCAAGTCCACAATTCTCTTCCTGATATCTTGGCTGATTTCTTTTGATTTTCCCATGATGTTACTCAAAGAAGCAGTGTTTTTCAGGTGTGCCGTAAAATACATCCACTGGTGTGCCTCTAATTAACTCAAATGTTGTCAATAAACCTATCAGAGGCTTCCAAAGTCATGACATCATCATCTGGGCTTTCCCAAATTGTTTAAAAGCATAGTAATCTTAGTGTATGCAAACTTCTGACTTTGAAGAAAGTAATAAAAATTGTCTAAAAAATCATTTTCTCTGGAATTTAGCAAATAGAAATAATTTTGGTAATCCTAATTGACCAAAAACAGGAAAATTTTTAACTGATTTAATGTTAGACGGTGAGAAAAAAAAGGTTATGTGCCTTTTTATACAGTGTATGTAAACTTCTGGTTTCAACTGTATGTTTGGTGTTGTAGCGATGCACATAATGAGCAGATTATCAAAATGATAATTCTGAAAAGATAACTTGTGTTTCCACAGGTTTGGCTCACATGTGAACAATACGCCCTGAGTAAACTTTCAGGCACTTCTCCACCAGGTAATTATTCGTGGACCAGGTCTATAGTGCAGACTCTGAGTTTGTCTTTGTCCAGTAAACCTTTCTAAAGTTATTCCTTTGCAAGTGTACATTTCTGACAACAGTTGATCAACCAGACGACTCATTCCTATCAAAGAATTCTGAGATTTGATTAATGATTTAGTATTTTTGACAGTAATTATTTAATTAATTTAATACTATTTAAACGTAAGTGTTGGGTGGGTGAGAGGTGTTAGTAGCTAGTGTCACTTGTGTTCAGTATTCAGATTGCCAAAGGTGAGAGCAGTTCCATTTTTTCACATACACACCCTGGGTCTTAAAGAAACAGTACGCACTTAACAACTCACTCACACACACTTTGTCTCTCTCTCTCTCTCTCTCTCTCTCTCACTCACACACACACACACACACACGTAAACAGCCGGCTTTATGAGTCTCAGATGTTCATATCTGTGACCTGACAACCTTCCCTGACAACTTGACTTTATGGGACATTTGTTTTGGACTGTACATAAAAAATGTACAACATATCTCAATGAAAGTGGGTTAGGGAATACTCTGGGACATCCCTAGTATCCAAAACAAGCAGCAGTGTGAAGTCTTAGGGACTGCTGCTGGCATTTAACTGCCACCATATATACAAAGTGCATTTACCTGACTTTATGGCACATTTATTAAAAAAAAAAACTACCACATGTCTCAATGAAAGTGGGTCCAGGTTACTCAGGAACACCCCTAGTGTCCAAAACAGGTGAGTTTCATAGTGGTGTGATGTCTCACGGACTGCTGCTGGCATTTACCTGACGTCATAGACACACAGTGAATGCACCTGTCTTTTTGGCACAATTATTTTGGAGATGTAATAAGTCTAGTGCATGCACTGAACCACCATCAGACTCACTTGTTTTGGATACTAGGGATATTCCTGAAAGAGAACATTAATATGCTTACGGCAGTGATATCAGTGGTGATGTTAGATGAGGTCTTGTGTCACTTTAATGGTGTTACATTCTGGGCACATATTTTTATGTGGTTACCATTAAGGGGTAGAGAACAGATAAGACAGTGTTCTGTTGTTCTTATGTTTTATGCAATTGTGTGCTTGCAAACTTAACACGTTTCCTCTATAAAATGTCACCAGTTACACTCACCTTGCATTCGCTTCATGGCATTTTCCTCCACACCCAGGTTAATGCAGAATTAATGGGGGCATTTTGGGGAGTTACCTCAGTAGCCGCTCAGCTAGTAACGCATCACTGCATTCTGATCAAGGAATGTAATTCTGAACGTAAAAATTCACCTGAAGCTTTCTGTCACAGCTAAGGACAGGTTCAAGAAAGGAAACCTCAAGTATAATATCATCACTGCATGATGAATACTCTATGTAGTGACATATCTACCTATAAATGAAAATGATTCAAAAAATCGATTATCAGTGTTGAGTCCAATAACAAAGAGGGTTTAACTCTATTATGAGTGTAGAGGTGTTAAAGTACCTAATGATAAAACCCCACAGTAAATACACCTGTATCTCTCAGCTACCACCCTCTCACCCTCTGCCATTCTGACTGTAGTGTCATTTATCATGTAATATGATATATTATACATTATATATGCTATAATATAGGATTAATACACTATGTTTGTCTCTCTGTAAGGAGTCACAGTCTTTAGCGGGGCTTGAACCCAGGTTTCTCAATTGAAAGACCACAGCACTAACCACTGAGCTACAAGGTCAGGGAGTGAGCTGACATGCACAGACAGGAGTAGACTTTAGGTTAGGAATTTATTCCAAGGGAAAAAAACACAGGCAACAGAATCCACGCAACATCCAAAGAGAAATCCAAAAACAGTCCAGGTCAAACACAAAGAGCAATCCATAACAAGGTAAACAATCCAATTGGAAAATCCAAAAAGCAAAAACAGAGCTATATGGTCAAAGTCAGGCAAACAGAGACAAAACAAAAACAACAAGCAGGCTCAGGACAAGGGCTACACTGAAAACAGGTAGAACTAACAAAGACTAAGCAATGACAGAGACAAAGGCCAGGGTTTAAATACACAAACCAATAAGGAAACCACTAACGGCATAACACACGGCAAATGAGACACAGGTGGGGCAATCGACAGAATGCGAGGAACACAATTAAGAAGCACAGAGTCTCTGGTGACCCCTGGTGGGGAAGGAAAAAAGTCCTAACACTCTCTGGATAAGAGTGTCTAAGAAATGCCCTTAATGTAATGTAATGTAAATGTAATGTATGTGTGCATGTTTGGTGTGTTTGTGTTTATTCAGAGTTACTACATAGTTACTACATGTTACAATATTGCACATTTGTCTGTGTGTTTTAATTCATTATAACTGTGGTGTACAGGATGTTTTTGTGTTTATCTCTGTTTATTCAGGATGTTGTTATTTTGTGTGGTTACAGGTCTGTTGATCTGGGTCAGAACCCTCTCATGGTCCAACCTGGACTGATATATTCCAGACTCCTTGGTTTCTAAAATGAGTGTCTCTAAGGACCCAGAGACCAGCACTGGAACCTCCAGCCCTGACAGCAAGAGGTATTAATGAATTAATTAGATATATACTTATATAAATTGATTAATCAGGAATAAAACATAGAATTTTGTATATATCTGCAGTGCATAATAGGTGGGCATATGCTGTATGTCACCCATTCTTAAGCACTGGGACAAGCCATATCCAATCAGAAAAGCTTGATTAATTATTGCTTAAAAAAACAAACTGAATCCATTGTTGTGGTAAAAATTGCAATTTGTGTTTTATACACAGAATAGATCTAAAATCATTTTGAAGTTCTTTCATTTTTTAACCTCTAAACCTGAAGATTGCCAGAAAATACATTTGTCAGAGACAAGATTTCACAATCAGAACTAAAATTTGTTTTGAAAGCCTTTAAATTTGGAAACTGACTATATTAATAACATGCTTGTGAAAATTTACTCGTATAATGCTTTGGTTTAAAATGCCTCAGACCTTAAAAAAAAAAAAACAATTTTACCGTGCAGTATTATTAATTGAATACACTCTACCTGTATTTGGTGTTTAGTAAAACTTGAACAAATGTTCTCAATTTTGAAAGTAAATTTGCACTAGGAAATATGCACTAGCAAATGTAAAAATCTGTTCCCCTACGTGTTGTGTGTTAGAGCTGCAGTAAGAGGATTAGGTTAACTGGAAGCTCTGTCTCCATGTGCTATGAGTAAGAGCTGCAGTAAGAGGATGAGGTTAACTGGAAGCTCTGTCTCCATGTGCTGTGAGTTAAAGCTGCAGAAAGAGGTTGAGATTGACTGGCAGCTCTGTCTCCATGTGGTGTGAGTTAGAGCTGCAGTAAGAGGATTAAGTTAACTGGAAGCTCTGTCTCCATGTGCTATGAGTAAGAGCTGCAGTAAGAGGATGAGGTTAACTGGAAGCTCTGTCTCCATGTGCTGTGAGTTAAAGCTGCAGAAAGAGGTTGAGATTGACTGGCAGCTCTGTCTCCATGTGGTGTGAGTTAGAGCTGCAGTAAGAGGATTAAGTTAGCTGGAAGCTCTGTCTCCATATGCTGTGAGTTAGAGCTGCAGTAAGAGGATGAGGTTAACTGGAAGCTCTGTCTCCATGTGCTGTGAGTTAGAGCTGCAGTAAGAGGATGAGGTTAACTGGAAGCTCTGTCTCCATGTGCTGTGAGTTAGAGTTGCAGTCAGAGGATGAGGTTAACTGGAAGCTCTGTCTCCATATGCTGTGAGTTAGAGCTGCAGTAAGAGGATTAGGTTAACTGGAAGCTCTGTCTCAATGTGCTGTGAGTTAGAGCTGCAGAAAGAGGTTGAGATTGACTGGCAGCTCTATCTCCATGTGCTGTGAGTTCGAGCTGCAGTAAGAGGATGAGGTTAACAGGACGGTCTGTCTCCATGTGCTGTGAGTTAGAGCTACAGTAAGACAATGAGGTTAACTGGAAGCTCTGTCTCCATGTGCTGTGTGTTAGAGCTGCAGTAAGAGGATGAGGTTAACTGGAAGCTCTGTCTCCATGTGCTGTGAGTTAGAGCTGCAGTAAGATGATGAGGGTAACTAGAACTTCTGTCTCAAGGTAATTCTGTAAAATAACTATTCTTAGTTGGACATTATGAGAATAAGCTGGGTTTATGTCAGCAACTAGTTGGTGGCACCTTGAACTGCTGGGCTGTTTTCACCAAATCATTTTTAAAGCAAATGTGCAATGTTTCTATTCTCTAATAGGATCCAGAGTGAAAGAGCAGAGTCACCTGTACCCAGCTGTCTGTCAATGAAGAGTGACTGGTCAATGGATGTGCCCAGACAATTCAGTGGAGGATTTACAGGTGATCCAAGGTAAGACAACGGGTACATATTGTGACACAGTGGCAGGTGTGGCCAGTGTGCCGGGTGGTGAGTGGAAGGTAAAACACAACAAAAAGTTCAACTGGAAGGGCCGAAGGCTATTTATTAACCCCTTTTAGAGGAAAAGAAAACACAACACAAATGGGCTCAACACAAAACAGGGCAAAACACAAAAAACAGCACAGCCATCCAGCAGTTCAAAAAGTCCCCTTTCAGCCTCTCAGGCTGTGCTTAAATAGAAGGCCTAATTGAAGGCAAGTGCTCACAGCTGAGTTGATTTGGAATCACTCGCAGGTGAGCCTGCCTGTTTGTGAGGCCTCTGCTGTTGCAGCTCCAGTTACTTCTCCAGGCTGAGGGAGGAAACCAGGAGACTGACAGCAGTACAATGGGAGGAGCTGAGGAGTTTGCCCCTCCCTCCACCTCTCCCGGCGCCACAATATTTACACTGCATTATCATTATGTTTATCTGTCAATGGCAACATTCAAGTGTAGGTGGGGTGTGCCATGTTATATTCAGGTGTATGATAGTGTATCATTTCACATTCAGGTGCAGGTTAGGAATTCTGTGTCAAACTCAGCTGTAGGTGGGGTGTACCACATCACATCCAGATGTGACAGCTGCAGAAAGAGGATGAGGTTAGCTAGGAGCTCTGTCTCCATGTGCAATGAGTTAGAGCTGCAGTAAGAGGATTAGGTTAACTGGAAGCTCTGTCTCAATGTGCTGTGAGTTAGAGCTGCAGAAAGAGGTTGAGATTGACTGGCAGCTCTATCTCCATGTGCTGTGAGTTCGAGCTGCAGTAAGAGGATGAGGTTAACAGGACGGTCTGTCTCCATGTGCTGTGAGTTAGAGCTATAGTAAGACGATGAGGTTAACTGGAAGCTCTGTCTCCATGTGCTGTGTGTTAGAGCTGCAGTAAGAGGATGAGGTTAACTGGAAGCTCTGTCTCCATGTGCTGTGAGTTAGAGCTGCAGTAAGATGATGAGGGTAACTAGAACTTCTGTCTCAAGGTAATTCTGTAAAATAACTATTCTTAGTTGGACATTATGAGAATAAGCTGGGTTTATGTCAGCAACTAGTTGGTGGCACCTTGAACTGCTGGGCTGTTTTCACCAAATCATTTTTAAAGCAAATGTGCAATGTTTCTATTCTCTAATAGGATCCAGAGTGAAAGAGCAGAGTCACCTGTACCCAGCTGTCTGTCAATGAAGAGTGACTGGTCAATGGATGTGCCCAGACAATTCAGTGGAGGATTTACAGGTGATCCAAGGTAAGACAACGGGTACATATTGTGACACAGTGGCAGGTGTGGCCAGTGTGCCGGGTGGTGAGTGGAAGGTAAAACACAACAAAAAGTTCAACTGGAAGGGCCGAAGGCTATTTATTAACCCCTTTTAGAGGAAAAGAAAACACAACACAAATGGGCTCAACACAAAACAGGGCAAAACACAAAAAACAGCACAGCCATCCAGCAGTTCAAAAAGTCCCCTTTCAGCCTCTCAGGCTGTGCTTAAATAGAAGGCCTAATTGAAGGCAAGTGCTCACAGCTGAGTTGATTTGGAATCACTCGCAGGTGAGCCTGCCTGTTTGTGAGGCCTCTGCTGTTGCAGCTCCAGTTACTTCTCCAGGCTGTGGGAGGAAACCAGGAGACTGACAGCAGTACAATGGGAGGAGCTGAGGAGTTTGCCCCTCCCTCCACCTCTCCCGGCGCCACAATATTTACACTGCATTATCATTATGTTTATCTGTCAATGGCAACATTCAAGTGTAGGTGGGGTGTGCCATGTTATATTCAGGTGTATGATAGTGTATCATTTCACATTCAGGTGCAGGTTAGGAATTCTGTGTCAAACTCAGCTGTAGGTGGGGTGTACCACATCACATCCAGATGTGACAGCTGCAGAAAGAGGATGAGGTTAGCTAGGAGCTCTGTCTCCATGTGCAATGAGTTAGAGCTGCAGTAAGAGGATTAGGTTAACTGGAAGCCCTGTCTCAATGTGCTGTGAGTTAGAGCTGCAGAAAGAGGTTGAGATTGACTGGCAGCTCTATCTCCATGTGCTGTGAGTTCGAGCTGCAGTAAGAGGATGAGGTTAACAGGACGGTCTGTCTCCATGTGCTGTGAGTTAGAGCTATAGTAAGACGATGAGGTTAACTGGAAGCTCTGTCTCCATGTGCTGTGTGTTAGAGCTGCAGTAAGACGATGAGGTTAACTGGAAGCTCTGTCTCCATGTGCTGTGAGTTAGAGCTGCAGTAAGATGATGAGGGTAACTAGAACTTCTGTCTCAAGGTAATTCTGTAAAATAACTATTCTTAGTTGGACATTATGAGAATAAGCTGGGTTTATGTCAGCAGCTAGTTGGTGGCACCTCGAACTGCTGGGCT